TTTTTCCTGGCTGCTCTACCGTGATATCCAGCAGATCGAATTACTCTTCTAATAGTCTCAGAATTAACAAGAATTACTCCATATAATGCTTGTAAATCAGCAGCAACTTTAGGAGCACTCATTCTTGGATTTTTTTTTAAATATTTCGAACGATAATTCGCTTTATTCCATTGGATAGCTTTGATGGTCGGCCAGGTCTTCTTTTATCCTGAATCATATGATTCTTTTTATATCGTTTAATGATATTGAAAACTGTTGAATGACTGAAGTTAACTGTTTCAGCAGTTTCTCTAATAGATTTTCCACGTTCAATATGCAAATTAATAATTAATTTTCGAATTCCAGGCAAAGTTTCTTTCGTTTAGCATTCATGTCTGCACAGAGCTAAAAAACACAAAAATTCAAAACAATCTGGAGAGAAATACTGCAGACGATTTTATAAATTATTGGCAATTGCTTTTGAGTAAAAATAAATACGCCAAAAGATATTTTTATTGCTTACTTCAGACGATTTTTGTTGCATAGTACGTAGTATCCCATCACTTAAGTGAGCCATTTTCTGCTCCGTTCTAAACAATTGTATTTTTATTAAATTAATATTTTAATATTTTGAGAAAATGTATGTTATGTAATAATTGTTACTAAATTTAAGTATGAAACACACCCACAAAAAATTTTACATGTTTTTTAAATTTATTTTATTGCAGTTTCCTTTTGTAAAGCGCAAGTGTCCCATCACTTTTTTGAGACACTGTAGCTGCAATTTAAATATTGTTTTCCGATCAGACGATGTTCTTTACAGCAAACCAAAATCGTCTGAAAAATGTCCGAACAGCTTCTGTAGATGCATATTTTGCGTATGGATGTGAACAGCAATTTCTAAAATATATTCTAACATATATGTGTGAAAGAAATAATTCAAGTATTTCTTTGTAGCATTTAAAAAAAAAAAAAAAAAAAAAAAAAAAAAAAAAAATCCAACCTAATGCTTGATTCACAGATAAGTATGCTAAATTTCTGTGTTTAGAGAAAGTACCTTACTCAGTTAGAATGTAAAACAATACGTCTCGTGTCGCATTGCTCATAATCTTTTGTAGGTCAATATATCTTAATTTTGTGATAACTGACAAATATTCCACGAAAAGTCATTATTGTCCATAACCAGACTGACTTCTGACAATATAAATAATAGCATTCAGGAACTCGTACGAACGTCAGAGTATTGCGGCGAGGTTTACTTATGCCACTTAAGAAATATTAGAAATAGTTAAGAGCCAACTGAAAGAAAATATCATCTTTCGCGATATGACTGTTCTGAAAGATATAGCTAAAACAGCTTACGCGCTCAAAATAACAAGAGTAATAAAGTTTAAAACCTGACGCAACGCAAAGAAGAAAACCCCCAAATATTTGCTGTCTCTCCTCATCGAAAAAAGGTTGTTGAGTGTTTTTTCCGCAGATAATCGTACCAAAAAACTCATAATCAGGCCAATGCATCTTGTCTAAAAAGGGTGAACACGTGGTTATTCATTCACATACCATATTTACCTCCTTTTTCCGACGAATTTCACTGCTTGAAAACTGGGAGGGGAAAAATGCGTGGTGTATACTATTTCTGAAGGACGGTTTAAATGATAAATATAGCATAGTAAAAAAAGAATGTTTACTTCTCATATTGAAGGTTAACCTGAAGCAGCTTCTCCGAAGGAACTGTAAATCTTCTATGGTAACCAAGGAAAGCAATATTCTTATAAAGAGTAAGATAATCTCTACATGCTGCGCATAGCATCAATGAGATGATGTGTCATCTATGTAGTTTCATGAAAATAAATTCGTCGTAAAAAAGCTTTCACAGGTTGTCTTGTCAATGAGATACTATGCATATTCAGAATGGTTAAAAAGTCTGATAGAGAGGCTGTGGATTATACTATGATATCGACGCCATGCACGTATAATGACACGAACGCTCTTTTCTTCGAAAAAAGGTTGTTGAGTGTTTTTTCCGCAGATAATCGTACCAAAAAACTCATAATCAGGCCAATGCATCTTGTCTAAAAAGGGTGAACACGTGGTTATTCATTCACATACCATATTTACCTCCTTTTTCCGACGAATTTCACTGCTTGAAAACTGGGAGGGGAAAAATGCGTGGTGTATACTATTTCTGAAGGACGGTTTAAATGATAAATATAGCATAGTAAAAAAACACAACAGAAAAGAAAAGCCTTGGAACTTGTTTGCGTTAGTGTCTTTCGCGTTACGAAAGATCACTTTTACGAAGGATCTGTTTTATTAGACTGTTTTATTATTATTATTATTATTATTTCGTTGCTTTTTACGAAAGACACCTGAACAGAATTTTTGCTTTTACTAAAGAAAATAAACGAAAATATCGTTCAACAATTTTTTATGGAATGCTTGATGAACAATAAACAAGAACTTCGAAGAAATGAAAAAAGTGCGCTAGTGCAGGCTAACACTTCCTGTAACAAAATCCTCTTCAAATGGATTATGACTTCTAGAATTAACGATTGCCAGCCAGCGCTAATCGTCCGTTTATCATAAAGCTACTCCGTCTTTTAGAGCTTTACCAATAAGATGTTTCTCGTAAATAAAACGTACAAATGTGAACAAATATACAATGTCCGGCTATTAATTTCCAGGACTCATGGAATAACTCAGAAGAAAAAAAGGTTAAACTCAGTTAGATGTTAAATAATAAACAAGATCTGAATGTTTCCAATGATTTCACTTTTAGTTTGGTAGTGACAATTCTTTTAAACTTTTAAGTATTTGTTTTGAGACTTGCATCTGTTATAGATTCGTATGTGATAACATACTAGTGATAACCATATCTTCTAATGACCAGTTTTATTTTGATTTCTAATTCTTTGAGAATGATTTCTGTTATATTAACATATAATTTATATGATTTAATATGATTCAAAGTAATCCCCATCAGCCGTAATGCACATCTGTGCTCGGCTGTACAAATTTCGGAAAGAAGTTTTAAAGTCCTTTGGAATGCTCTTTAGTAGTGACGTTACAGTTTTTTTGATGGCTTCGACATCCTGAAATCTTGTTCTCTTCAGCGAATTTTTCAGCTAGAAAACAGGAAAAAGGTCTGCGGGTGCTAGCTCTGGAGAGTATGTTGGATGCTACATTCAACACCATGCTGGGCTAAGAATCGACTCACAGGCAACACAATGTGGGGGTGGACATTGTCATGTAGCAGCAGCCAGCTCCCATTTTGTTGAAAATGATGCCTCACTCTACGAATTCGTTTTCAAAGTCGGTCAAGAACTTCTGTGTAGAATTCTTCATTGGTAGTCATGTTAGGAAGGAAGAAATTCATGATGAATGAGTCCATCGCAATCGAAGAAAGCGATTTAACATGACCGTTGATTTTGGACTTTTCAAATCGAAATTTTTCTGCCTTGGTAAACTTGGAGACCATCATTCGGAGCTTTGACGCTTGGTTTCAGGGTCATATTGATAACACCAAGACTCGTCTCCTGTGACTATCCTTCCAGGAACGCAGGGTCAGCATCAGCGTTGTCGATAAGTTCGCCACATGCGTCCAGTCCCAATTGTGCCTAGGTCTTGCGTCAAAATTCGCCGAACCGTCTCTTTGTCCATGTTCAATTCATTGGCGAGTACTCGAATAGTCAATCGACGATCACATTTCACCATATCGCTAACTTTTTCAATTGCTTTCAGCGTGCGTAAGGACTGCGGCCGATCTGTGTGGGATCATCTCCGACGCCCGTTCCGAAAGCGTTTAAACCATTCCAAAGTTCTTGAGCAGGATAATGCTTCCTCGCCGTAAAATTATTTTAACATTTCGTAGGTTTCCGCAGCTGTTTTGCTCAGTTTGAAGCAAAATTTAATGTTAATTCTTTGCTCCATTTTCACTTCGACAATAGGAATTTAAGAGCTACGTTTTAATGCGCTTTTCCACAAGAACCACTTACTTCAGAATGGCGCCGATTGCACTACATATGCGCAAGAAAACGCTCTTCAATATGCAATCATTAGCGCCAATTTTCGACTTTTCGTTCTCCTACAGTTACGTCAGTCCTGGAAATTAATAGCCGGACCTTGTAGTTTCAGTTCATGCGTGGAAACTACATTCCCAACAATACATTATTAACCCTTTAAGCGGCAAGGCCACATATATACGGCCTAGAATATTTTTTTTTGTGATATCTGTAAGAACATATATATGTGGGCATATTAAAATATACCAAAGAAACTAAGGCAATATATCAAAAGAAAACAAATCCAGGTATGAAATACCAGGAGAGTTTTTACATTAAAATCAAAAACATAATTTGTTCTCTCAGTAGTTTTGGGAAATTTGTGATTTTGTAGCAAAAACCCTTCCCGCTTATCACATCTTATATTTTTTTCCTCCTCATATCATACAACAGGGATTCGCCATGCCATTTTCTTTTTTAAGCATATGCTTAGAGTAATCAGAATATGAAACAGAACTGTTTTATGTCTGTGAGAATATGAACATTATAAATAATTACTCATTATACATTCCAAATCACATGCATTATACATTCCGAAAACATGCAGAAGATTACAGTGGAATTAAAGCACTTAAAGCAAAGTGATAAGACACATGACTATTATGATAATATGCTGCAGATTAGAAGTTGCAATCACTGTTTAATCAATATGGTTCTGGGAACATTAGCTTAATACAAAGAAAGCTTTTCCCATTTTAAATAATTTTGGAATTTAAAATTATCAAGGTCATTTCTTAATAGTAATTTTTTTAAATTTAATGAAACTAAAAGGATAAAAATAGTTACTGTATTAATTATAATTATATATAGTTGCTGTATATTAACATATACTATTTATACAATTAGAATTAATACAGTATATAATATACTAGTTACTGTATATTATATACTGTATTAATTATAAGTGTATAAATAGTTACTGTAAATTAACATTGTATTAATGACTTTTTACTTTAACAGGATGATTTTGATGCATTGCGTCCACTGTGCTATTCTCACACTGACATCTTTCTTCTGTGCTTCAGTGTTGTATATCCTACATCCTTCTACAATGTCGCTGAAAAGTGGATATATGAGATCAGGCATCATTGTCCCAAAGCACCAGTTCTTCTTGTTGGAACACAAAGTGACTTGAGGACAGATATTGGAGTTTTACTTGAACTCGCTCATTATGGAGAACAACCTGTCAGCATACAGCAAGCAAATACATTAGCATCTCAGATAGGAGCTATTTCGTATGTGGAATGTTCTGCCGTAACAAAACGGAATCTGAAGGAAGTTTTTGATACTGCTTTAATGTCTGCATTAAAAACTAAGAAAGCCAATATTTTATTAACAGATAACTGTAGTGACAGTGAATTTAAGAGCTACAGTATGAAGTCTAGTCATGACTATACAACAGATGATAAAAAGAAAAGTGGGTTGAAAAAATTATGGTGTTTTTCCTAGCAAAATGCTGAAGGTAGTCAGAGAAACAAAAAAGAATCCTATAAGCATAATATAGTTAAACAAGAATGTGTGAAAGGATAAAATGCCACCATGAGAATTGTTTCTTCTTTTTTTTTCCCTTCTTTTCTTAATTTTTAGTTTCAGGATGCATCATAAAAAAGTATAGTAAAAAGTTTTAAATTATAATTCAATTTTCAAGTGCTTATTTATTTTTTATTCCAAGTTAGAAACACAAACTGTATGTTCCAATTTCTACAGACTTGTATTGTAAATAGAGAAACTCACATTTTAAGCATTTTAATTCTTTTTTATATTTTTCTTTAATTATTATACTTTCAGTTGTTAACTATTGGAAGATTTTTAACTTTTAGGTTTGGTTTGTTTGATTACAGCAAAGCACGCAAGGACTATCTACCTAAGGGAAGAGATGCCATCATGGAAGAAAACTGGCTTGTATCCATGTTACACATAGGGAAAACTATAAAAGTTCCATGCAGCCAGCTAGTTGACCTGGAATCGAACCCATGTCAAACTATCAGTGTTTAGTAATTTTGCTGCTGGTGAGCCCTTAACTTTAGGAAAATGAAATAATGATAATAGTCCAAAATACAGTTTCAAAGCAAATAATGAAAAAAATTATTATTATATTGAAAAACACTCTGCCATGGAATACTACACAATGCATGTTAAAGTACAGAATAAAGATAATAACTTTTATTACAGTTACTAAGTTATTGCCATGTACCAAGAAGAAGCAATATGTTGTTTCATTTTCAGTTCTAAATACAGTTTCAAAGCAAATAAAGGAAGGAAAAAAAAACACATTATTTTGCTTACTGAAATGAGCACCACAAGGTACACTATTCTTGAAGGCACTGCTGATGATTTTCCAGAAAAGGGGGAAAAAATCTAAGAAATTAAAAGACTAAAAAGAAATTAAAATAAGTTAACATGGATTACAACAATTATCCATTTGTAAAGAATTATCTAATTCTCCATGCATAATGAATTTTAATTCCTGATTGAAGATTAACAAGTAATTGCTTACTATAAATATTAATTTTACTTTTGTGTGTCACAACATATATCTACAAAATTTCATAGCAGATATGAACCTAGTAAACAATATTAATTGCTTATAATTAAAAAAAATTAATAAAGTGCTTAAGTATAAATATACACACATGATTAAAATGAAGTTAAAATGAGAGAAAATATTTTAGGCTCACATGTTAAACCACTTAGCCTTTTTTTATGTTTGTTTATACAGTGGTTTCTGCGTTAAGTCTTAAAATATTTTTTCATGATAAAAATTCAGAAACAATAAAATCCTAAAGTGAAGAATACAGGAAAATAGAATATGTAAGCTACAGAGTCCTTATGTCAGGTCTTATATAAAATAAGCAAATTTTAAAAATGGAAAAAAGAAACCAATAAAAAATCTAAGTATTGTGTAGCTAGAACAAATACAGTACAAAGTCCGTAATCCGGACTCGGCGGGACTTCGGGGATTCCGGATTATAGATCATCAATTTAAATCTGGTAAGATGGCATGCAGAAATTATACAATTAAAAATATTAAACCGTAATTAATGTAATAAAGAGCAATTATAATATAAAGGGTATCAAAATTTACAAAAAAAAAAGCTTAATATTTTTTAGTTTACTTTATAAAATCAATTATCATTTCTTTCAATGTAAGTTGTTTGCTTCGTTTTTTGTGCTAAACACGCATGCGTAAATGCATTACGTGCATGAAGAGAAATTATGATCTAAAGGGTATCAAAAAAACTTAATATTTATTTGTTTACTTTTTACTTTAATAAACATTTCTTTCAATGCAAGTTTCTTCGTTTTTTGTGCTAAACGCGCATTCGTAAACGTATTACGTGCATGCGTATAGCATACCAAAAAAAAAGGTTTGTGGCTTTGAGGTCCGGATTATAGATCATTCCAAATAATGGACGTCCGGATTACGGACTTTGTATGGTAATAAAATATTCTTAGCATTTGACTAGCATTTACGTTTTATGACTTCATACATTTTCTACAAGAAATTACATTAAAAATTATACTAGAATGGGATGCATTTTATTTCCCTTGACCATTGCATTTTAGCAAACAGGAAGGAATGCAAAATCTCCAGTTGTCCTCACGCACTGAAAACCATAGCTATGCAACTTGTGTTGCAGCTGATTGTGATTTTCAAAATACATATAAGTTAAAGAGATCTACAGATACTGATAAATATTCAAAATATTTCTTAGCTTTAAAAATTATAGCACATTTTAGAACTTGAATAAAGACCCAGTATTTTTCACATAGCATAATGTGCTGTTTTTATTACAAGGTCATTTAACAGTTGGATCTACAATACAAATTCCCTTATAATTTAACATTAAAGTTTTACATCATATTTTTTTCAGAAACAATTGTGATGAAAATTAATTTATCGATCAACTTGAGTATCAGAAGGTACTTTAACATTGCTTTCAGAAATTTTCGCTAACAAATCAGATTCCAATAAGTGCTGTAGCTCTTCATTTGTAGCACCATTTTTTTCCGGGAAAAGTTTTTTCTGAAAGAAATAAAAACATAAAATGTTACATTTTTATCTCTTTATTTTTCAGAAAATGCAAATTTAACCATAAAAGAGGAAATTATGAGAATGTATTCCAAGCACAGTTAGATACCAACAATTCATTATCAATAATAACTGATAAATATTTATTCATTCTGGATTACTGGGATGCATTGCAGAGATACGAGAAGATAGGTTTAAGTACAGATTATCCAAAATGTATTCATAAATGTAATAAAGAGACATTTTTATACATTTCATTTTGATTGTCATATGATACATAAAACTGACTTTTCATTGCATGGTTTAGGATATAATTATTTATACTGCAAAACTAATGTGGTACTGTAATTAGGAAAATATCCTAGTGGCCTTTGCAAAGAAAAGAAAACATGCTGGATATGACTCAGATATATAAACAATAATATGTTGAAAGCCTCCTATAAGAATGATTGATCTAAATACTATACCTTGAAGAAAATTAAGTAAATGAATTTTCTTTTAATTAAATTAAAGGATAAGCAGTAAGCAACATATATTTTAAAAGTTAGATAGCACATATAAGATGTGGTTTATTAAATGGCATTTTAAAGGTGGTTTTACTAACTGCATTACTTTAGTTATTAATAATATAATCTTTAATCAGTTTGAATAACAAATCAGGCTGAAAAAATGTTTTTGACCTTTTTTAAATCTCTCTCTCTCTCTCTCTCGTTATTTTTAATATATTGAACAAGTTACCCTTAGTTGTTTTATCTATTTTAGTTTTCCTTGATAGCACATTTCAAAGATTAAAGAATAATTTCTACCAAATATTACTCAAAATTTTGATTTTGATTAGCTAACTGAATTCTTGCTTTCCACATAAATTCTTTATTAGTATTTACTTTTAAAAAATTCATGCTTCATGGAAATGCTTAGAAAATCACAGAGTTCACCTTCAAGTAGTAAATGACAGAATGAATAGCACAAGGGAAAAAAAAAAAAAAAAAACTCTGCAGCACCGTAACAATTAATTAATTATGTAAGATCCTTTCAAGGTCCTAAATTAAAGATGAGTTCAACTACAAAATTTATTAATACTTGATCAATGGATATCTACCAATAAACTAAATCCTCAAAAAATTAAATTTTACAACACATAGTCATGTTACTAAGAACACATAAGATAAATCTTAAAATATATAAGCCATCAAATCAACATGCATATATATTACTGATTCATATATCAGTTCTTTTATTAGTATACAACTATACAACAGATGAAATGTGAAACTGTTTAAATATTAATTTCATTTGGAAATGAAATTCTGAAACAAATTTCTTTTCCTCTATGTATCTCTCACATTAGTCAGCAATTAACATTGAATACTACAGCCAATACAAAAAGATGTGTTCCATGATTTGCCAGAATTCAAGCTTTTTTTAATTTTTAATTCTTTTGGCATCCACAAAATGCTTCACAGCATGTTGTTTTCTTTTGTGCAATTTTGATTACAATAATGAAAATTTGATTAAAATATTAAAAATTATTAATCAGTACCCTTCAACTTTACAAAGCAACAAAACAGACAAAAGATATTTTTGGCAATCTTTTTCTGTGTTATGTCTTTTTTCTTAATTTACAAAATGCATAAAAAAGCACCAAATTTTTTTCATCCAAGATGCTTAAATTTCTACATCCCGCCCTGGTCATTTGTAGGTATATTATTTGTAACATTTACAGAACTAATATCAATTATTTATGTAAAACTTAGTTGATGACTAAATATGAATAAAGTTATTACTTCACACAGATTGTGTAGTAGTTGGATACACAATTCTGGTATAAAGGATTTCTTAAGGAAACATTTCTCCGCTGATCCAAAAAGGAAAATTAGATGGTTCACGAATATGATTATGTAAAATACATTTTTGTGCCAATTATCAAAAATTGCCACTGAAAAAAGCTGCTGCTGCAGGGCTGTAGCCCATTTAGCACTGTTGTTAGGATGACCCACAATAAATTCTATTTCCCATTTCAAAATTTACATATTATATATTTCACGCTTAGTAGATACATAAAATTTACTAAGCAGAATTGCATAGTACTGCACCAGTTGTGAAAAACATTACAGTTTTATAATACACATTAAAATATTTACACAAGAATTATGTGGTATAATTGTTAACTGATTCAGATATAATGTCAATAATATGTCGTCTGAATAATAGTTATTGAAAGTTCTCAGTGCATAAAAGCCTCACATATTCACTGTTCAGTTAGCAAGTGGAATCGTTTTACATTTTTGTAGCCTATATTTTACTAGCTGAAGTAAGTAGTGTTGTAAAGGCTTTACACAGAGTGAAGAGGCTTCATTTAGGGGGATGAGGTTACATTTTTCAAAATCTTAGATAGACAGTGATTTTCCTCTTATTTCGGTTCACGTGAATTGTGCAAAATTTTACCAAGCTTGAATACAATCTTAGAACAGTGTAGAATTAACACAGCTCCATGTAACAGTTTTAGTAAGAAATGGTACTTGCTTTGTTATTGGTTATGCTCTTTTTCAGTAATAAGCTTTCAGAAAATCACCACCTACTTTTCCGATTTCTTCACCATTTTCGAAGCATTCACAAAAAACTGATGGAAGGCACACTTGAATTCTGCCTTAAAATATCTGTTCTAGAAAGTTCTACACTGTTGTAAAGAGTAAACAAACAGAGTTGCATGTAATGGTTTTAGCAGGAACAATAGCAACATAAACTTAAGATGGGTAATGTGATTTCCAAACAGAAGCTATATAGAAATATTTATTTTTTTTAGGGAAAAAACAATTATAATTCCTTACTTAACACATATGATTTCTACTAGTAGTGGGAATACATCCAGAGTATAGACACTGTAGGGTGGTTTTTTGAAATCTTATGTAGATCGTAATCTTCCTCTTCTTTTGAGGGTAAAATGTGCAAAATTTCTTCAAGATTGCAATAAAACTGTAGATTTGTATGAGTTACATACACATAAACAAACAAATAAACACTCTTCTTTTATAAACAGGGTATGGCAAAAAGAAATCCTAATTTGGGAAGCTAATAAAATCCAATCAAATAATATGCAAATTTTCCTTTCATTCTGTGAAAGTACATATGAAGCCATTTTACATCAATATGTTTTTTATTAGTTGTAGACAACATCACTCAAGTGACTTTCATTGTTCATGCACTGATTGAGACTTTCATGATAGTTATCCAGGACTTTGTCATTTCATCAGGAGTCATTTTGTGCATAGTGACAGTATCTTTGTTGTCCTCCTGTTGTATCACCTTCTTCAGAACTTTTGAAGTTGAACACAAAGCAGTAAATTGTTTTTTGGTGAGGAATAGGTCCCACAACTAGGTGCGAAGTTGCTGCAAAAGGCATGGTGTGTTACTATTGGTTACCCAAATTATAAATTAACTGCTCTACAATGAAAATACAATATTCTGCTGACCAAGCTATAGTCTACTCTGAAACGTCATGCACATCACTATTCAATGATACACTTCCCCATCACCATATCTCCTAATTGTAGCTATTATCTCCCAAATCAGTTAGTTCCTTCTACTGCACCCTGTATATAGATGATTTTAACAAATCCAGCTAGTAAATAATAATAATTGAAATGAACCTGTGTTTACCTGCTTAATTTAATGAACCTGTTTTAAACTGCTTAATTTGTTACTTAATAAGAGAATAAATTTGAAAAAAAAAAAAAAATATCTTACTCTTTACTGAACAACAAAATACTGCTGCATGCAAGATACAAATATTTTGATTTGGGCAGTGGCAACGCATTTCTTTTAAATCATGAAGTTTATTTATTAAATTTCAAAGGAAAATATATTGTGAGTGGTAATACACTTATTTTATATTGCTGAGTTTTCAGATTAAGTTTTAAAAGTAAATATCTTATGCTTAGACTGGCAACACAAAACTTTATTGATAACTGATGACACACATTCTTACTGCATTATATTATAGATACTAATACATAAAAAATAAGAAATATTGATTTTTGAAATTTTTGCTGGATTTGAAGAACGAAGTTTTCAGTGCAATTATTCTTAACTGCTGAAAGTACTGAAATAAGTGAATTGGCAAATGATTAGAAATGCAAGAGAAGCAACGAGGACATTTTCGTATGTACATTCCAACTATTAAAAGCTTGATAGGCCAAATATGCCAAGCGAACCAATGAGCACTGATTGACAGCACTCTAATAGCTGATAATAGTACTTTAAGCACTGAGTAAAAACTAATAAGCTGATTCAAATTGTTAACTACTATTATTAATATATTAAGTTTCACTTTAAAATGAATTCAATAATCTTAGTCTTATTGCTATCTATCTGCATGTATTCAGTTCATTTACATGGGCAGAAATAGTCATTAATGTAACATTTGATATCAGTACTTGTATTCTATACAAAATACAAAAGATTTCAAACACTAGGTCACTAAAAATTGCTTTAGATAAGTTTACCATGTGCCCTTTATCAATTCAAGTACAATAGTTATACATATGCAAACAATTTTTGAAGGAATACAGAATAAAGAAGGTGTAAGCAAATCTAATTTCAAACATACGAAGTAGCTATTAACTCTAATTATGTTAACTAGGAAAATTTTTTATGTAATTATATCATGAATTCACATAATAGACGAAATAGGCTTGCCTCCAGCATTTCTGAAATCCTAAGCAATCAACTCACTTTGCACCCAAAATTGAAGTTGTTAATAATTCACAGTAAAATATCCCTTGCTGAGTAGTCACATGCACAAACAGTTTAGCTCAGGGTTTCTTAAACTGTGGGTCGTGACTCCCATGGGGGTCACGGGACCTGCAGCAGGGGGTTGCCAAACATTTTAGCAGTTTGGATATTTCTTTAACTTATTATAATAATTTTACGATTACCAAATATTTTTACACAATGTATCTGAAAATAGATAAAGATAAGACAATTCACAAAGAAATGACATTTCGTCTGTTACTTATTTAAAATTTTCACATTGTTCTATGTCTTAAAATTAGAAATTAAAGTTAATGACCTAAAACTGCAACTAGTATATTACAGTTCAAGTGAAAAAATTTACAGTTTCACTAACGCGTGTGTCGGATTTGCGCAATATTTATGGGGTCCCATAAAATTTTTGTAAATATTATGGGGTCCTGGGGGTCACGAAAATATCTCGGTGACAAAAAGGGGTCGTGACTGAAAAAAATTTAAGAAACTATGGTTTAGCTGATGTCCTGTTATGAGTGCATATATTGCTTATGCTTGAAGTCAAGCTAGATTTGAAATAAAGTTTGAGAAGCTGGCACTGGGCTTTTTGCCACCTGGCGCAAACCCTGCGAGTTCTAAACTCTACCACTTACTTTTTTTCACTTCTCAAAGTTTTGCCACCCCTAAATTCTGTCACCCGGTGTGATTGCACTGGCTCTGGCACCAGCCTTGCTTGAAATAAAAAGGGTAGTTTCCCCCCAAAAAAAACGCAAATTTTTTGTACTGTGAAAGTGAAAAACAAATACCTGGACAGAACAGAGAAAGTTATGTAGATATTAAATATAACAGGAACATTAATAATCTACGTAATTCACAATGAATCACTGCTAAAAGGTAAACACTCATATAAATAAATTGGATAAATATTTGGCTGATCTTTAGAACATGGTAACTGGTAGTTTGGTGACATTTTGGAGGCAATAAAGGTTTGCTCACATTATTACCAAACCTGGGACTTTGGTAATAATGTGAGCAATACTCAGTTCCGATTACGCATTATTTTGTGTGAGGGAAATGAGAGATCATGGGATATGTCATGTGATATTAATGGACGAATAAATTACGGTTCTTTAATCGGAAAAGGGGGGATAAATTTGGAAAAATATCTGTGGCTGTATATTATTTTGCAGTATTAAGCTTCATTGTGTGTTGTGTGAAGTAGGGTTGAATAATTTTGGGATTGTATGGCGCTGTCTAAAGTGAATTCTAGATTTTTAATGCGTTTGTGTGATAATTCAAAAGAATTGGTTGAATGGTGCATGAGTGTAGGAGGTTTAATTGCGGATAAGTATGAATGTCCAAAATGTGGGAATGAAATGAGATTGTGTGAAAGGAAGGATATTACTGATAAGTTTGAATGGCAGTGCAAGAAATCTGGTGAAAATGGACATTTTGTGAAACGGAGTGTAAGGAAGGGTACGTGGTTTACTGAAAGTCGTTTGAGCATGGGTGAGATTTTATTGATTTCTTATTATTGGGTGAATAGATTGCCAGTTGACTATTGGATTTCGGATTTAAAAATTAGCAGTAGGACTGCAGCTGACTGGAATTCTTTTTATAGGGAAGTGTGCGTGGAATTTTGCGAAAATGATATGGGTATGCTTGGTGGTATGAATGTTATTGCGGAAATTGATGAGAGTAAGTTTGGGAAGCGGAAGTATCAGAGAGGTAGGAGAGTGGAAGGAAAATGGGTGTTTGGTGGGATTGAAAGGGGTAGTAATAAATGTTTTTTTAAGGTTGTGTGAGATAGAAGTAAAGATTGTTTATTAAGTTTTATAAAAGAATATATTCTACCGGGTACTATAATTATTTCAGATTGCTGGAAATCGTATGAATGTTTGGAAGATGAAGGTTTTAAACATCTTACTGTGAACCACCAATATTATTTTAAAGATCCGGAAACCGGTGCACATACCAATACAATAGAGGGCACATGGAGTGCTATAAAAAGCGCCATTCCGAGGCATTGTGATAAAGAGAATTTTGCATTTTATTTAGCGGAGAAAGTGTGGAGGAAAAATTCGCAGAAAAAAATCGTTCAATAATTTTATTGAATCCATAATAAAAGTGTATCCACCATGTAAGCAAGATTCTGAAGAAGATTAGGTAAGTTAGTATTTTTAATTATTTGAGGATATTATTTTTATGCATTGTTCTAAACGTAAGGTGAAAGTAAAGTGATTTGGTATTATTGGGAAAATTGTTATTAGCAATGATTTAGTTTAAAGTAATTAGGATTGTAAACTAATTTTTATTAATTTAATGTATGTGCTTATTTATATTTTAAGTAGTGTTTTTGAATTTAATTATATTTTAATTAAATGATAGTTATTTTGTGAATTTTATGTTTGTAGGAATTTGGTATACGTTTTAGTTGAAGTAAACGTGCATGGAAATAATTTAAATATTTGACACTAAGTATTTGTAATGTTTGTGGTATGAATTCATTGGTGACATTTAGAATATAATAGATAATTTAGAGGTAAAAGTTTTTGGATATTTTATTTATTTTATATGTGGAAATGTTCATATTTGGAAAGGGTATATACTTTTTCGTTATTAGGTAATTTCATATATGTTCTTTTTAACGGGTTTAAAGATTCAGAAAATTGTCATGCATTTTCGTGAAATTTTTCTAATTTATGAGAATACAGCAGTGTACATGGATATGGTGAAGAGTGTGCACAATGCCATTTTTGTGCAATTCTGGGATTTTTTTTTAAAGTAAAAATAAGTCGACGTGTACATGGTTTAGTGATATTTTAATTAAATGATAGTTATTTTGTGAATTTTATGTTTGTAGGAATTTGGTATACGTTTTAGTTGAAGTAAACGTGCATGGAAATAATTTAAATATTTGACACTAAGTATTTGTAATGCTTACGGTATGAATCCGTTGGTGGTGTTTATAATATAATAGATGATTTAGAGGTAAAAGTTTTTGGATATTTTATTTATTTTATATGTGGAAATGTTCATATTTGGAAAGGGTATATACTTTTCCGCGATCAGGTAATTTCAAATATGTTCTTTTTACCGGGTTTAAAGATTCAGAAAATTGTCATGTATTTTCGTGAAAATTTTTCTAATTTATGAGAAAAAAGCAGTGTACATGGATATAGTGAAGAGTGTGCGCAATGCCATTTTTGTGTAATTCTGGGATGTTTTTTAAGTAAAAATAAGTCGACGTGTACATGGTTTATGTATGTGTTATTTTGAAAAACACGTAAGGAGTATGGTATTGTGGACTTTGTCCCAATTTTGCAGTGAATATTTGTCATGATTAAGCAGTTTTGTTAGATAAAATTTCTAGCATAAGTGTAATTCGGCTAGTAGATTTTTGGAAGAAGTGTTCAGTAGATAAAAAGAAAAGAAACATGTCTTTACTTCGTGAAGACAAAATGGCGGTGGGAAAAAAAAAATAGAGGGTTGCTGTAAAAGAGTTGGTCGCCAAATTTTCGCCAAAAAATCGCCAAGTTACCATAATCTAAAGATCAACCAAATATTTTATTTAAGTTAATCAATGTTGCAAAATTTAACAAAATGAAGCAATAAATAAAATTCCTAAGAAATAATATGTCTGTAAAAAACACTTAAAAGCTGTCTTTTAATTAATGAATACTAAAACAATGTAAACAATTACCTCAAAATATGACAACTGAACTTCTTTGTCAGGATCAATATCTGACAAGACATCTAGTCTATTTACAGAGCCTGAGATTAGATGGCACATGTAATCATCTCTAGCATTCTGCAACACTGATATCATATCTTTCGAAGTAAGTTCCTTTTCTGAGCCTTTTACTTTTGCCAATCTAGATTCTAATAGAATAATGAATTAAATTTCTTATAAATGCATTAAAAAGTGAATCATATATATGTGATATACTGGAACATTAAAGCAGATATCATTAAGGGTAATATGTTTATCTTTCTAAAACAGAGAAAACAGACAGAAGCCTTATGTTAAATTAAATAATACAAATACTGAATTGTATTAATTTTCTGTAATATTCCTCTAACATCAAACAGAAAGGAAACATAATAAAAATGCCTGTTATTTTCCTTTCATATGAGGAAGAGGTAAAATAATTTAATTCCTTTTACTTTTTCAAAACCATCTATTACTCATTTTTGTTTGTTTTGTTTAGATTTTATTAATTATAATTCAACACATTTTCATTTAATCATTTGCTGTTTCTTATTATCACTTCACAATAGAAGCATTGATTTTTTTAGCCATCTATACAAAAAAATAAAGACTAGTTTTTTAGTCATCTGCATTGCAGATAATTAGAATATGAAGGAGGGGAATAGTCTGATTTAATTTTAAAAGCAAACTGGATGGCCAGATCAATCATATTTATAAGACAGAATCTTGACTAAATCTTCTTCATTACTATTAAAAGTGAGAATGAGTTATCTATATAGCAAATTTAGAGCTGAAAAGACAACTTTTCTAATAATTCGACCTTAAAATAGTGCATGTAAGTGTGAGTATGATGAGTGCATGCAAGTACTGAACAAAGGGGATTACCCAGTGTTAATTCTTCGATTTGGCAATAATAATTATTTTTGATAATGAAGTGGGTTTAACTCAAAAGAAATGGCATTTTCTGATGATCTGCAACCCCATGAAAAAATCACGAATTTGTTGCTAACTTTAGAGAGCAACATTTTGAATTTGTAGCTGACTTAAGATCCAAAGTCTTTGGAGATTTATCATTATAACATCATGGGTTGCCACATAACTATTATGGCAAAAATACTGCTTTGCCTTATGAATACTTGTCACTTTTAGGTGGGGGTACAGATAATCAGAATGTAACAACTTAATATCTCATTTTTAGTATGTATGAAATTGAATTCTTGAAGTCTGGTTTCAAGACGTTAATGCTCTCTCATTTGGAACATTAATAACAGTGATTTAACATCAAAAGAAACCCTACTTGAATGCTGTCCAGAAATGTCTTTAAAAGTTTATCGATGATTTTGTTGCTATTTAATAGCTCTGTGCTATTATGATGGCCAATTCACTTCTGACTAATTTTTCGACAGTGGTGAAAGACATTTTTCAAATGGTGGCTTGAGAATTCCTTCTGTAATTTTTCTGCATTGATGTTCTCCTCATGCACACAGCAATTTGTTTTTGCTTTAATTAAAAAAAATAAATAAATATCTGAAAGGCTTCAGATTTTATATTACACCCTTTATTTATTAAATATCATGTTCTTCACATTTTGTGTGTTACCTTTATTTATTAAATATCATGTTCTTCACATTTAAATCATATAAAATTCAATTCAACAGCAATATCACAAAATATCTAAAAACAGCCAAACAGTATATCTTTAGAATTTCCGATACATAATCTCATGCATTGGAGATAATTTTTTTTTTTTTTTTTTCCATACAATGTTGTCACTGTTTGCTTGAAATTGTTGAGTTTGTTAATCAAAAATTCATTAGTTTTACAAAATTGAAAATAGAAAATAAAACAAATTCAAAATTTAAAATTCAGATTTCCAAGTGCCTGTGTTTGGGTGGAAGACTACGTCATTCAAAATTGGAAGGTTCTAGGGACGATTGTTTTTCACAATGCAAGAAACATTCAGGCAGATTCTTCCTTACTTAGTTTCTTTAATAATACATGGTGATAATATTCAGTGGCAAAAGTGTGAAAAATGAAACACACAAAATGTTGTTTTGAAACTGATAGCCCTTTGGGTCTAACGTCCCTTTAGGGTAAAAAGAATTGCACACTGCTGAAAATAGACATGCATGATGCCTGTATGTAGCGTATGTTATATTTTTAAAACAGATGTATGCTATTATAATAATATCTGTTATATTTTTGTAACATTTTTGGCTGCCACATAACTATTATGACAAAATATTGCTTTGCCTTATGAATACTTATTTGTGACTTTTTGATGCGGGTACAGATGATCGGAATGTAACAAATGAATATCTCAATTTCAGTATGTGTGACATGGAATTCTTGAAGTTTGGTTTCAAGACGTTAATACTCTTTCATTTGGAACATTAGTAACAGCGATTTAACATCAAAAGAAATCCTACTTGAGAGCTGCCCAGAAATATCTTTAAAAGTTTATCGATGACTTTGTTGCTATTTAACAGCTCTGTACTATTATGATGGCAAATGTTCTTCAGGCTAAAATTAAAAATTGCTGAATGTAACTGTTATATAACGATTTCAAACAAAAGCAGTGGTGATTTAAATCACTATATTACAAATAAAAAGCACATATTCAAAACTATCCTACAGTACAAAGTCTTTAATCCGTATGTCCATAATCCAGACCTCAAAGCTACAAACTTTCTGCGCATGCGTAGCGTTTACGTATGTGCATAATACCTTTACGCATGCGCTTTATACGTTTACGCATTTGCGTTTAATGTATAACGGATGGTATAAGCTAAGCTAAAATTATCTAATTATCTATTTCAGTTAATGTTGCAGATTGCATTGTTCCTTAATCTTCTAATTGGATCCGGCTTAATATTTTTTGCAGACTGTTAGAGCAATTTTATAAAAAGTAAGCTTGAACTTTTGATTATGTCAAAAAGAGTTTCCGATTCTGGAGCAGCCAAATGATTTACAAAACGAAAGCCTGCTTCGATGTTCATCAAACAAAAAGTGGAATTGCTGCAAAAAATGGATAAAGGCATGAAGAAAGTGAGAGGTTAGTGAAAACGAAAAAATTTCGATTAACAAGTTAGTCAGTATTCTCGGCACATGGTAATAAATGAAGTTTTTCATTGTGATGACAATGCTTCTCAATTATCAATCATTTAATAAATGGCGAAATTTGTAGTATGGTTCTAGCAATTACAGGACTTGAACAGCAGAACTTTGTAACTGAACAAGAAATTATGTCTGTTTATAGAATTAAAGAGAAAGTATTAGCACATAAAATGAAGCAACTTAAACAACTTACATTGAAAGAAATGTTTAATAAAGTAAACAAATAAATATTATCTTTTTTTTTTTTTTTTTTTTTTGGTAAATTTTGATACCCTTTAGATCACAATTGTTCTTTATTTCATAAATTACAGTTTCATATTTTTAATTTTATAATTTCTGTATACCATCTCACCAGATTTAAATTGATGATCTATAATATGGAAAAATCCCTAATCCGGAATCGCTGAAGTCCCGACGATTCTGGATTAAAGACTTTGTACTGTATATGCTGAAAAATCTATTACATTTTAAACTAATGTGTTCAAAACTGGATAAAAAATTTAATGCAGGAAACTATGAAATATTTAGTCATCATTTATATTAGAAATTTACTGTTATATTTCTATTATACACAAAATGCTGGAAAGGAAAGAAAAGATATGCATGTGCATGGATAAAACTGAAAGCTTTCAAAAACAAAGTTCAGTACTGATACATTAATGCAGCCACATTGGTGCAATTTTGTGGTTTTTTACACATGAGAAAGAAAAAAAAAAAAAAAAATTGCATCATTCAATGCAAAAATTTACTTCCATTTATAAATATTACAACATATTTTACATTGTCATTAGGTATTTATCTTAAAAATTAATTTACTTAACAGGCTGGGTTTATTTCTTTTACTCTCATAGAAATTTCAAGGCAATCATTTTAACGATGGATTAAAAGCAATTGTTTCTTTTAGCAATTTTGCATAAAAATACAGCACTTCTATAGAAATTTTACTGCAATTTCTTCCATTGCTAGCAAACATCAGAAGCTCATACAGGGTGGTTATAATTAAAGTGACCCTATTCAGACCCCTTGTAGAACCCGTTCTGCCTATCAGATTTTGATGAACCTTGGTATATACGTTAAACGGACTATGGGGAAAAGATTTCTGAAGAAAAAAATAATTCAAATTTTGACCACCAGATGGCAATTTTCAAAAATTCCTTATGCAAATAGGTTAAATCTATAAAGAAACTTGCAGTCAAGAACCAGAAAAATCATTCTGCATGCCTTTGGCATTAATCATGACCTTACAGAAAAAAGATCGAGCTTTACTGATAAAACTGTTTTATCAGAATGGCAGCAATAGCTTAGCTGCATTGAGTAAATATTGTTACGTTTTTCTCTTCCTGACACCAGTTGATACATTATTTTCTTCCTTCACGTTTGTATGGGGTTAGTAGATTTGGAGTGAATAACAACGACACTTGATGAAGTATCTAAACACACTTTATTTAGCCAATAACACTTTTTTACAGTCATCGAAGATCTACTATAAATGCGCTGGAACAATCAGCGGCACAGCACTGTCAGGCAATAACGGTGGAGACAACTTCACTGCAAAGCACCAGAGTACAGCTTCCGACTCTGTTTGGTCGTTCTCGAAACTCCATGTACTCTTGAGACTCACGCTACAACTCGCAATGCACTCAACGACACACGAGCACAGCTCCCGGAGCTCAACACACTCTCTCGACAATGCACTAACCGCGATATACTAACAGTCTCTTTCGGTGCACTCGACGACCCACTCGGCACTTGCTGCCCAGATGTCAACTTGATCGACTCCGTGGGGATTGACTCGCTAGACGAGACACTAACTCGATACTAACTTGCACTCTAGACGAGGCACACACACTCACACTCTCGATGAAGCACACACTGACTGACTGCGGACCAGCAGGGTGAATATAGCTTTCGGCCTGTGTTGGAGAACATTCTGGGCTAAGCTGGTAAGAATTCGTTCAAGAAGGTTCTCCATCCGTCCATGGTATATCGCCAATTTTGTCGCCAAATGTGGCAACCCTGCCTTCCCTTGCCATTTTATGACAACCCTAAAACT